TTTAAGTCTTTGCTGTCTGTTGGCCACAAAAATGTATGTCATGTTTTTTTGTGAGCCGCAAACCTGACAAGACAAGTTTTGCACCTTTTATGAGCTATATCTGACTACAGACACTATTGATAAAAAGAGATAAGTTGTTTAACAGGTCACCCATGTTTTTTTCTGGTGTAGAACTCTAACATATTTTTTAAAGAAAAGCAGGAAGTAGTTCATAAGCAAAACACATTCAACTGTCCAAAACCTTGAACTCCCATAGAGAGATTAATACTGTCAATTCCAGATAAATATCTGAACAAAGCCTACTGAGAGTCCAGATTCAAATTTAGCAGATCACCTTATTTCATACATCAGACTTCATCCATTAAAATCTGCAACTCACTTATACAAACTCATTTCTTTCACCTTGGAGGATGCCAGTATCAGAATGGTGTCTTACTCATTAGCCAAGCCGGCCTTACAACTTCTTTAATGCTTTCTTTATTTCTGAAGTTTGCATGGCACTGAGGTTTTAAATTAAGGACCTGGGAGGTATGCGATGTCTAGGTTCTTTTGTGTATGAGTAATTCATTTTTCATCCTGCATTAAATTCAAAAGGCGCACAATGGCAAATGTCACCATTTCACTTTATTTCAAATTCCAATTTACCACTAATAAACTTAACAATAAAGAAAACAGATTGGGTCGTCTTGCAGAGGTTTAAGTCATCCACCTATACATTCTTTAAAGTGAACAGTTTCTAATATATTTATAGTCCAAGATGGCTTTGGGACAAAATGTGACAGAACATTTACTTTGACAAGATTTTCCACCTTGTTTTACTAGTGTGTAAAGCCTTCGGTCTTACCTTTGTCCATCAAATATAATAAATAAATAAATAAGATCACTTTATTGGCCATATACAATTTCTTGTATTAGGAATTTATCTTTTTCACATACCCCACCTTACTCTCCATGAGACACACAAGACAGGGAGAAAAGCTTGGGGTCAAAGCGCAGGGTCAGCCATTTATACGGCGCCCCTGGAGCAGTTGGGGTTAAGGGCCTTGCTCAGGGGCCCAAAGAGTAGGATTCCTCTGCCAGCCCCAGGATACAAACCGGCAACCTTCCAGCCACAGGCACAGATTCTTAGACACTAAGCCACCGCACCATGAATGTAGTCTGGTATGTGAACAAATGATTGTAAGAGATACAAATCAGGAAAGGTCATTTGGCTCACCTAAGTATTTTGGTTGCAATTAATCCAGGTCTTTCCCCTTGAATTTCTTAGAAATTGGTGTAACATGGTAACATTTTCATGACATCAAGAAAGAGGAGAATTGTGTGGAACAACATGGCTCCTTCAAGACTCCTTCAACTTATTGAGTAAAAAGTGCCTCCTGCTCTCAGTTTTAAATGCACGTTCCCATAGTTCGCATTTGTGTTCTCTGGTTCTTGTTTCACTGTTAATTTTGAAAGTCAGTTCTCACACCATTAAAAGAAGGATATTAATGGCCTCCAGCATGTTCATCTGTGTATGTCAAGTTTGTTACAACGACACCTGTATAGAACATTGCTCCCCCTTCCACATAAAATCACACATTTATGAGGTATCCAATTACCTTGGCTTGTGTCTAGTTATTTGTTCTCCTCAGATTACATCCTCGGACAAAGTATATCTGCTAGTAGCTATGAATATATATGAGGTCTTGTTTTCCTTCCTATCTGAAGTTCATATACTCCTCTCTCAAGGCATTCCACCTTTTGTATCTTATCTGGCTATACATTATCATAATTATTGAAAATATTACAATTCCCAGCCTGCCTCAGAAATATAAAGCTCAAAGCAATATTAACCCTAAAGAGGACACCAATCCTTCAGACAACATGCACACACACAAACTACTTTAAGGACACCAACTGAACCAGGCAACAATTCTTCAGAAGATTGGAAGAAACCCAGAAGTGCCCAGCGAAAAACCAAACCTCACACAAAAGGTACAGCAGTCCACAAACAAACACATGACCCAAACAGCTATAAGGATGTGGTATTAACTGCCTTGCTACTGTGATACCCCAGAGAGAATATCTGTATCATCTATTGACCTGTTTAGTTAGGTATAGACAACATGATACTGCTCCCTCAGTGACCAAGAGCAGGAAATCTACAGAACAATGAGCTCACACTAAAGGGTCATCTGACAACTGCTTCTAAGAGTAATTCTTTTTTTTCCCTTTAATTTAATCTCACCATGCTTGGCACCACTGTTGTGGATCAATAGGAAAAACAAATTCCATGCCCCCAGAAGACAAAACAGAGAATCTTATAAAGCAGGTTTGGTACCTAACCAACACAATAAGACAAACCAGATCTGAGAATGAAAACAGTCTTTTAAACATTTTGTACAGCAGTAGTAGAAACACATGATGTATTTATCCAAAACAGATACAATGTAAGAATATTGGGGAAGACTTCCCTCAATAATTAAAAAAAACACATCTATAACTGCAATTAACAAGAATCAGGGCAGGATTAAAAAAAATAAATTCAGTTTGACGCAAAGTAGTAGCTAGAAACTGTACAGCACTTTCTAATATTTTAGAGGTTCTTGGAAATGCAGCTACTGTACCTTTGATTTCCATTGAGCCATTATCCATTAATTTATTAACAGGTAGTGCCACCTCCTTTACCTTGCTTAATACAAATTAAAAATGATAAAATTACCATGCATCATTCTGTACTTATAAAATAGATATCATATTAAACACTTAATGTTAGCTATTCAGACTTTTTCTAGAGTGTCCTTTAATGTATAAACATATAGATATGAACTATAAATAGGTTATTTCCTTTCTGGTATTGTCTCGCAATACCAGAAGGTGAAAGAGTGAAACGCCATTTATATCAATAGCACAGAACTAGGAAGAATACACATACAAATAGTTACATGTACAGTACAGGGAAAAGAAAAAAATGCAGATTACACAACAGCAAAACGCAGATTATGTATATTTCTCCGACGGTTTCATAATCCCTCTAGGGAATATGGCAGGGTTGTGGCTGGAGACAATGAAAAATGGGGTGTCCCTTCAAACGGCAGTCGCTAAGTATAAATGCTATTTTACTGAATTGCAGAGTTCATTCTTAATCCTATTGTCTGAACTATGTAAATAACCGATATTCAATACTGTTCTTACTTTGGCCGTATCCCCTACTTAAGAAAATTTGAGATGGCTATAGGAATCAATCCAATCCACCTTGGCGCAATACAATCTGTCGGTTCAACTCCGTCCCTGAGAAGAAAAGCAATTTCCATCCTCCCACTAACAGCCACCTGGATCTAACAGTATGGCAAACTACGTGGGGTGATGCATAATACGTTCTTGTTGAACAGGATTCACACTATTAAGAATCGGCGTTATCATCGTCAGTTTTTCATTTCCGATTGTAAAACTGATGTAAGCTTTTGTTTGAAGTTACTTAAATAAAGAAACAGTGACAAACTTTAAAAATGTACTTAAGCAATTAAAAAATGTAATGAGTTTCTAGTCTACTGTTGTTATCATAATTAGCTGTCACATTGTGCAAATCAAAAGTGAAATCAAAGTTTCTCTGAAGCACCGAATAGCTACATTTTGCATGAAAACGGTTCACTAGTACGTTAGAGTCCCCACCGCCCACTTTAGGGCGCCTCATTAAACTAATAGCAAGTGGCGAAGTGTTTCTATAAAACGTTTATTAGTAAAACCATTAGTGTTGCCTTGTTCATTGTTTTAATTCGTCTAGGAAGAATCATTCAAGTACAACATCTCATTTAGAACAGTCAGGCAACAGCTTGCCTGGTTTTTTTTATTTGGTGTTGATGAATTGGTCTAATACCTTGCTTTACTAAAACTCAAACTTTACCCCTACGTCCCTTAACATAGTAATTAGTATACAGCTAATAGAAAACGAATACGTGAAACCCACCGCGTGCTTTCAGGTTACAGGTTAATAGAAACACGAGCAGAGAAACTCGGGAAAACAAGCTTGATGTACTTTAGAATAACCAAATATACAAACTTTCAGCGAACATTACATCGTGAGATGAGAAGAATGGTCTTTATAATAACACTTACATGCGTGTTGATACAGTTAGGGTTTTGTCCCGTGAAAACACCTCTAATGTTTTTCAGTGTGTTGTAAATCCTGAGTTTGCCACTTCCAACTGTGCGATCTAATTTACATTAAGACAATAATACGAACACGCCGTTGTCATTTGCACTCGAAAACAACACATTGGATACATTAAATGGTTGTTTAAAGAGATACGTCATGATGGATAAAAAGCTATTGAAAACTCCACAAAAGACACACACCTGCATTCGCTGGAAACTGAATTTCATTAGTCTTATTTAAAAACAAACGTGACTGACAGGTATACTTCAGGTCTTAGTTCTAAAAAAGCCTGGCTGTATTCATATTTAAAACTAAGTCCTTGATTCACCCACCCAGCACTTACACACTCCTACTCAAAGCTCTCCAATTAAAAAAACAAATGAGAAAAAATTAGAGGCCCTGTATATAGCTGGTATACAGTGCAAGATTAAAAAAAACACCGTCCAAGTTAGTACCTTAGCGAATACTGACCGACCTATGCTGTGAATCTTACTACTTCAAAATCTAAGGTATAGTAGGTATTAAATTCACAGCTCATTCAAGATCTCAAAGGGGCATGAGTCTAAGTAGCATTTTTACCCTTACTTATTTCAAACCAATTAAACACGAGGCTTTCTACACGGAGACTCCTATATACCTGATCCGTAAAGCAATGTGCAGCAGAACACAAGAGAAAGTATCCAGCGCTGCTTATTTGCTTCATCCTCAGATGTGATGCGTAAAACACACACAAAAAAATGATTAGGCTACACTATACAGACAGCTCAGCGAAATGAAAGCTTTGCAAACGCTGGAGAAAAAAAAACACATATCTTGCATTCTAGCAGAGGACAAACTTAAACCTTCCAGTGTCTGAAGACATTACCTTTTGGATTACTGAATGCGGTGTACCAAGAAAGCGAGATGAAGCCGCATAGACCGAACAAGATGACAGTTAGGAAGGTGCCATTTCGGAGCCTCATCTCCGGATCACCGGGATCATGTCCGAACCGAAAACGGGGTGGTGGTTGCTGTGTTCGGTTTCGTTTCACCAGAAGAGGGAGAATTCCTCGGAAACAGGAGCAGGGATAAGGGGTTATAATTCCGAGGAGATCATGCACATTCACAGGCACCGAGAGCGGAGCCTGACTCGGGGTGGGGAGTAGAGAAAAGGGGGAAGGGTTTGCTACATGGGTTTAGAGTGAGGAGCTCCTTAAAGAGAACGAGTCATGTATAATATTCCGGGCGTTTAGATGTTAGCCAACAGTTCAGGACTCATTTCAATCTGGCGCTCATATTTTACAGTGCGACACTGACTCGGTTTACAGATGCTATTCCAATTATTTTCTGAGCGCATGCGAATGCTATGTATCCAAGTGTATATCTAAAACAAACGTCAAGAGCGTAATTTTCTTTTCTAAACGTGGAAATAACACCGCAAAAACATGCGTTTCAAATGTAAACAAAGGTCCGCAGTAGTTTTTAGGTATTTGCAATATTTACAATAAGAGAATTAACAGTTGCAATAACACTGACATTGTTGGGAAAAGAGGTGCACGGAAAATGTATATATTTTTAGCTCCAGTTAACACATTTATACTCACAAAATACCCTTTAAATAGTTTGTAAATGCTATGCTTTTAAGCAGTCTGTCGAAAAACTCTAGAATGCAATTTTTTGATACTGCACTCTAGCATTGGAGAACACTTTTAGATTGTTTTAAATGTTGCATAATTTGTACGCATTTGTGTTAAACATGTATAATGGTGGTTTAGGGTTGTACACCTGTTTATACTTACTCAGATTCACAACTTCAGGAAATTGAAAGATGAGGAAAAAACGAAAAAAGCCCTAAACGAAAAAATACAGGCCCGATCTTCCTATCTAAATGCTTACGCACGCAAATTCTACCAATACATAACACGTATGCATAGGTTAACTAAGTACTAAAGAACGGCGAAGAGCTTTTTTTTAACATCGTTGTAGGCTACTGATACGAACATTTTTTTCCTTACTTGAACGTTTTTTTTTCTTTACAGCTATTTAAAAATAGGATATGCAGTGCTATTGGCTACTAACGTTTTTCTCGGTGACAATATGTGGTTGTCTTTAATGTTTTAATTGTATTTGGTTTTTATATTTTAACAGGCGCTTTAAGTGGCCCGTGCCACAATTTGGTTGTGTTAAAACCACGTTGCTCATCATATTTCTTTGACAGGAAGCTTAAATATGTGTTACTGAAAACAAATAGGGCCAAAGTTAAAACTGTTTTCTGCAAAGATACATTTTTTTTGTATCCGGGTACGTAGCCTAAATATGAAAATACTAAAATACTAAAAGCATAAAATTATTTATAATGAATTGTTGTTCAAACAGTAAACCGATTTTCTAAAACAAATGATAGTCCTTCACATAAAGAATCACATTTACTAGGGCTTTACCAATAATGTCAATGTCACAGGCATGCGTCCGATTCACTTTCGCACAAAACCTCACTTACCTCGACTTTTTAAGACTAATAGGAATATTACACACTCGCCAACGGTGTTGTGGAATAGCCTACATAAAACAACGTAACTCAAAAACCCAAATAGTTTTGTTAAGTTGTTGTTTGTAACCTCAGGAAAGGCATGGTGGACGTAGTATTAGGAAAATATTACTTCAGGTGGGTAGCTGCGTCAGCATGCGTAGGCTGCAAAGTAACAATAGGTTTATTCCATGCTGAAAAGAGAAGAAAACACAACATTTCGGCCGTGGAGCCTTCTTCAGGTGTGAGAAAGACAGGGCAGTAAGCAAATGTGAAATATTAGATTTAAGGCAGAATATTAAATAACCTGGAAGAGCGTTTTTTTTCCAAAGCACTTTCACCTTTGTTTATAAAGGTATTGAGGCTGAAATAAAGTGATAAATATCTCATGATGTCCATTAGACAACTAACGTTCACTGCATTAACGTGTCATCAGTTTGCAGCCTGAGTCTCGTATTGTTCAGATATTGGACGCCGTCTACATAAACTGCTTGTCATATGACCTAAAAGATAGTGTGAAGTTTTTACGGCAACGTATTAAACGGAACGTTTTAATGTCGAAAAAGAGTATTTTTACGTAACCATAAGCGCTGTCCACCACTAGCGACTGTTTCTTATGGGCATTTATTGCCACCTTGTGGTTGATTAAGTTAAGTTAAATTCTGTGAATTATTTCACAGCATAGTGAAACACGCTGTTATAATAGTTACACTTATATAGCGCTTTTCTGGACACTACACTCCGCTTTACAGGTATTGGGGACTCCTCTTCTTAACCACCAATGTGTAGCCCCACCCGAATGATTCCCCAGGACGCTCACTACATTTCAGCTACTGTCACCGCCGTGTGCGCGTACATTTGTTAGCAGGATACCCCTTCGCAATTTGGATTTTTCCATATAATCCTGCAATCTCAGTATTAAATTAGAGAATCTATCAAGCTTTTAAAATGTATTCGATTATTTAAATTTACGTAAAACCAGAAATTATTTATAAGAAAGATTCTGCATTAGCCCGAATGTTCCATTTT